TCTTCCACTCATCCCCTTCCCGGATACGCACCAGGTTGTACGCGCTCCTGAGATCCAATTTGGTGATGAGTGGGCCCCGTGCAATGACTCCGTCATACTAGCAATGAGAGGTAGTGGATAACTGTACTTCACATTTATCTGATTGAGACCTCGATAGTCAATGCACAGGCATAAACCTCCATCCTTCTTCTTCACAAAATAACACAAAATAAACTCGAGGAGGCAGGGGAAGTGGAAGGCCGAATGTATCCCTGTCCCAGAGATTTGGAGACATATGTTTCCATAGCCACCGTCTCTTCCTGTGACAGAGGATACACGTGACTCCGAGGAAGTGCAGCGCCCTCCCAGAGATTTATCGCACAATTCCCCTGTCGATGGGGTGGTAATTGAGTCGCATTCCTTTTACAGAAGGCGAGAGCCAAATCGGCATATTCGGGAGGAATGTGCATAGTGGAGACCTGGTTTGGACTCTCCACCGTAGTTGCACCTATGGAAACACCTACACACCTCCCCGAGCACTGATGGGACCATCCCTTGAGAGCCCTCTGTTGCCACAAAATATTGGGGTCATGAGAGGCAAACCAGGGAAGCCCCAACACCACTGGAAACGCAGGAGAATCGATCAGGAAGAGACTAATTCTCTCCTCATGACCCTCCTGCGTTTTCATCCAGAGTGGAGCTGTGACCTCCCTAATCAGGCCTGACCCTAAAGGGCGACTGTCTAAGGCATGTACAGGGAAGGGCACATCAACAGGCACAATAGGGATCCCTAATCTATGTGCAAATAGACGGTCCATAAAATTCCCAGCTGCACCTGAATCTACGAGCGCTTTATGCTGGGAATGCGGGGAAAACTCAAGAAATTCTAAGTGAACACACATGTGCGCAACAGGGAGCTCTGGGTGAGTCGGGTGCCTATTCACCTGGGATGGTCCACCAGTGCCCTGCCTGCTGCCTCGACTCCCTGAGGACCATTTCCAGCACCGACCAGCAGTGTGTCCTCTGCGGCCACAAATGGTGCAGGAAACAGCCCCCCTTCCGGTCACTCTTAGATCAGCACCTCCGAGCTCCATCAGTGTAGGGTCGGAACTGCTGGGGAATGGACTGGACGGACCCTGATCCGGACGTCCGCGGGTGGCCAACAGGTTATCCAGTCGTATCGATAAATCCAACAGCTGGTCCAGGTTAAGGGTGGTGTCCCTGCAGGCCAGCTCCCGACGAACGTCCTCCCGTAGGCTGCATCGGTAATGGTCGATCAGGGCCCTCTCATTCCATCCCGCGCTGGCTGCCAAGGTCCTGAAGTCCAGTGCGAAGTCCTGTGTGCTCCTCTTCCCCTGTCTGAGGTGGAACAACCCTTCCCCCGCCACTCTCCCCTCCAGTGGATGATCAAATACCGCCTGGAAACTGCGGGTGAAATCTTCATAGCGCACCGATGTCATGTCTATTCCTCCCCACTCAGTGTTGGCCCACTCTAGCGCTTTCCCCGACAGACAGGAGATGAGGGCGGACACACTCTCGTATCCCGAGGGAGCCGGGTGGATGGTTGCCAGGTAGAGCTCCACCTGGAGCAGAAACCCCTGGCACCCGGCAGCTGTTCCATCATATGCCCTCGGGAGCGAGAGCCGAATCCCACTGGATCCAGGTGGTGAAGGGTTGGACAGCGGTGTGGGGTGAATAGTAGTGGAAGGAGGTGTAGAAACCCCCCCCCCTCTACCATCGCTCCATAGTCTGTACCACTCGATCCATGGCTGTGCCAAGAGTCTGTAGCATGGTCGAGTGCTGCTGGATGCATTCCTCCACTGATCCTGGAGGAATGGATGTAACTGTAGACTCCATAATGGTGTGTGATTCTGTCCTGCGTCAGTGTGTAGCAGTAGGACGGAGTCAGGCGCAGGACACAGAACTTAGTCAACGACGTACCTTACTTGTCACAAGTAAATAAAAATATCTTCCACGCAGGGAAGAAAATACCGACTCACATGTCAATGACAACAAAACAACGAACAATCACGCACAACACCATGAGGGAACCAGAGGGTAAAATAGGGAAACAAATTATTGTAATTGGAACCAGGTGTGTGCAATATAGACAAAACAAGTAGAACACAGAAACATAGATCGGTGGCAGCTAGTACTCCGGTGACGACGAACGCTGAAGCCTGCCCGAGCAAGGAGGAGGAGCAGCCTTGGCTGAATTCGTGACAGACAGAGGGAAAAGAAGGAAGCCTGTACAGAATAAAAATATTCTAAAACATGCATCCTGTTTGCAACAAGACACTAAAGTAATGCTGCAAAAAATGTGGCAAAGCAAGTAACTTTTTGTCCTGAATACAAAGTGTTATGTTTAGGGAAAATACAATACAACACATTACTGAGTACCACTCTCCATATTTTCAAGCACAGTGGTGGCTGCATCATGTTATGGGGATGCTTGTAATCGTTAAGGACTGGGGAGTGTTTCAGGATAAAAAATAAACGGAATGGAGCTAAGCACAGGCAATATCCTAGAGGAAAACCTGGCTCAGTCTGCTTTCAACCAGACACTGGGAGATGAATTCACCTTTCAGCAGGACAATAACATAAAACACAAGGCCAAATCTACACTGGAGTTGCTTACCAAAGACTGTGAATGTTCCTGAGTGACAGTTTTGACTGAAATCTTTCTGAAAATCTATGGCAAGAGCGGAAAATGGTTGTCTAGCAATGATAAACAACCAATTTGACAGAGCTTGAAGAATTTTGAAAAGAATAATGGGCCACTGTTGCACAATCCAGGTGTGGAAAACTCTTATTAGAGACTTACCCATAAAGACTCACAGCTGTAATCGCTGCCAAAGGTGCTTCTACAAAGTATTGACTCAGGGGTGTGCATACTTATGGAAATTAGATATTTCTGTATTTCATTTTCAATAAATGTGCAAACATTTCTAAAAACATGTTTTCACTTTGTCATTATGGGGTATAGTGTGTAGTTCGGTGAGAGATTTCGTTTCGATTTAATCCGTTTTGAATTCAGGCTGTAACACAACAAAATGTGGAATAAGTCTAGGGGTATGAATGCTTTCTGAAGGCACTGTAGCTATTGCCCAACATCTATACTCCCTGGCCTCTCTCACTCCTCACATGCAAAACCGAACACAAATCTGAAAACCAGCAATCTGATCTCCAGCAATGTGTAGTGTATAGTATAGATCTGATCTAGGGCAATGTGTAGTGTAAAGTATTGATCTGATCTAGGGCAATGTGTAGTGTAAAGTATAGATCTGATCTAGGGCAATGTGTGGGGTGTAGAGTATAGATCTGATCTAGGGCCGGAAAGCATGGAGAAGGGGAAGAACATAATTTACAGATGTAGGATCTTAATTTAATCACCCTGTTATGGGAGAATTTTCCTGCAATGCAGAAAATGTAAAATGTGTAATGTATTTGAAGTTTAAAAAAGCTTCTGAAATTTGTAATTTCCACTTTAACATTTCAGATTGCCCTAATGACAAATATAGCAACCAGTACAAAAAAGTCAATTAATTACAATCCACATAATAATTCACACTTCCTGTTGCTGCAGGATAATTTTCCTGCTGTAGGAAACTGGCTCAAATTAAGATCCTACATCTGTATGTCCAGGACATTGTGTATATTTTTTTGTGAAAACAGCAGGAGAGGAGGTCAACTGCATTCCGGTGAAAAACGTCTAACCATGTCAAATCTTTGTACTTTTTATCGCGAACGCACATCTTGGGAGTGATTCCTCTTGGCACTCGGTGGTGAAATATATATATCCCCATTGCATTTTCACTCTCGAAGTAGTGTTTCCTGTTCTTGAGCCCATGCTGAGACTGTATGGGAAGCACATGGGAGCTAGGAGCTTCAGGTATCTGTAAGATGGAACGATATTTGTTAAAGAATAATAGTCTTTCTCCATTATAATGTACTTTACCTCATTTATGTGAGTGAATTAAATGTACCCTTTTATTACCTAAAAATAAGCCCTGTGGATTTGGCCGTAAATATGTTCTTCATTTTGTTTGTGTATAAATGGGGAGTCCGATGTTCCCGAGGGCTATTATGTCGGTATCTGTTATTAGGGAAAGGGTGGCAGGTAGCCCAACGGTTAGTGTTTGGCCAGTAACCAAAGGGTCACTGGTTTGAATACCCGGGCCACAAGGTGAAAAATCTGTGTATGTGCCCTTGAACAAGGCACTTAACCCAAATCTGCTCCAGGGGTGCCGTAGTACTATGGCTGACCCTGTAAAACAACACATTTCACTGCACCTATCTGTATGTGACAATAAAACATCTATTAGCGTTTGTGACAGAGCGGTTTGTTTTCTTCAAATTTCCTACATCTAAGCTCAAAACTCTGTTTTTCCTGTGTTAGATCTTTCTGTGTTAAAATGTTCCTGTCCTCTTCAAAGATATTTACTCAAAGCTCGAATGATTCCACTTATGAGTGGTGGGAACTGAATGTCAAGTTCCAGACAGTTCAGCCAAGGGTTAACTGGACGTGTTTACAGCACCACCTTGTGTACAAACAGGGGAAGTTACGTTATTTCGACTTTCCTACCAGTACCTTCTCAAAATCAAATCTAAATCTTACATAGAAGGGCATGATCCTTTGGCTGGTGAAGTCAGGAGAAAAAAAGTGTAGAACTACATTTGTTACTTGATTTTCCGGTTAATGTCTCTTGAAGTAAAGGGTTTGTGTTGTGTGTGTGTGACTCGATGACATTAGAACATAAAGCACTTTAAGATAAATCAAGTTTATTAGCATTGCTTTTTACATGGAGGAGGTAGGAACCTGAGGACAGTACTAGAGTACTTGGCTTTGTAGAAAATAGATTGATGTAAGGCAGTTAGACACATATTGCAGCATATATTCACTTGATTATTATACAACCAAGGCATTAGATGAGAGCAGAAGTGTTAAAAATCAGTACCCATAAACAATATGCTTCTGGAATCCTTACACAAACACCCCCCCCCCCCCCTCCCCTCACACACACACACACACACCTTATATGATAACTTCAATCACCCATTAATGCAGTCACTACAAGCAAGAATCTGTGCATGAAAAGTCTATACACTTGTAGCTCATCATCAGTCCATCTTGGAATCATCTACTCTTCCAGGTCCCAGGTCAGAATCAAATTCAGAATTCCACGTCAATTCTATGGAGTTGCTGAATTTATAAAAGCTTCTGGTGAACTATCAATGGCTGCAGATGACCAGTACGCCATGTGACCCTTGAGTGGCCGTTGGACTTCTGAGCTGGATTGACAGAGTGGAGGGAAAGGTCAGAGGTCAAATTAAACATCAGTTACCTCAAAGCACAGAGGCATAGATTAAGTATCCTATTATGTCTCCATGAGAGGAGGTAAACAGTGATCTGTACATCATATGGATCTGTTAATAGCCAGTTGTTTGGAGTTTAAGATTATTTACAGATCAGATAACCTGTACAATATCTAGCTCAGGTTGGCACAAGTAGGTTAACTACCTGGACAACCAGATGGGTTTGTACTTCTGGAATTATTCCATTGGTTCCCTTGTGCCAGCCAAGCTCAATAAAGCCTAGCTAAAGTATTTGATAGAAAACTAATACTAAAAGCTCAGCTCTGTGGACAGGAGAGATGGATGTGTGTTTAAAGACACATGAGACATCAATCAGGTAGATACCTTGTTTTTTCAGGACATGTCTCCTGGTCAGCCTCCACTGCAGTGGATGATCCCCTGTCTGTGTCTACGTCCGCCTCTCTGTCTGTGTCTCTGTGTCTGTCTGCGGCAGTGTCTGTGTCAGAGCTGTTCTCACTGCCTAGGGCTGATAGCCTGCTGCTCTCCGGAGTCAGGCCCTCTGGGCTGGGGAACTCGCCACTGAGACAGAGGGACACCATGTTAACACACATACTGTACACACACAAACACATACATACAATACATACATCTTAAAGCACACAGACAGGAGATACACACACACACACACACACACACACACAACTGGATCGTGTGGTCAGATCATGTGGGAGATGGGGAGTACATCTTGCTACTTCCACGAGAACTCAGGACCCTTAACAGACACACAAACACACAATTGCCTGATTTCTCGGTCTTCAGACACTGAGAAAGAACAGATCCTCACTTCACTCTCTTCTCCAGGACTCCAATGTGGGTCTGTCTCTCGTCCAGGGCTGTTTTCAAAGAGTCAATCTCTCGCTGTTTATCCGACAGGTCCCTCTGGAGACGGTGGTTGGTCTCCTCCAGCGTCTCACAGAAGGCCTGTCAGCAAGATTACCACAATAACAGAACCTGTATCGTGTTCATGAGGCACCAAACGGAAGAAAGTGGAATAAAACACGGAGGAGCTACCTAGACTTGTCCGATAAGAAAAGCTCATTTTTGTTTAACGTTAATAACATTTCCCGTCATATGCCCTGATGACCACGACTCTAGTTCTGATGGCTCAGTTGGTTGAAGTATGCTGCTTGCCACACAATTGTTCAATTATTCACAATTGTTCAATTCAATTCAATAACTCCCACAATGGTTGTGCAAGACTAGTGGGTTTGATTCCCACTTGGGCCACATACATTCTGAATATTATTTGTGTTAACTATATTGCATTGATATAGTGAACATACTACTTGTGTTATTTTCATGGCTTTACATGGCTGGGTAGCCTCGTGGTCTTGAGGTTCTGAGACCATAGCATGGAGCCAGCTAAGTATTTGGTAGGTCTGCTATCTTGATCAGTTCTCTCTAGCAAACTACATTTGTTCTCAATGAGACTAACCTGGATTATTAAAAGGTTAATATTTTTAAAAGTACTGTAGAGACAGCTTACCCTGCTCTCCTCCAGACTGTCAAAGGGGCCTGGCGGGTCATCCAAACAAAGGAACTGTCTGACCGCTTCACTGTGGGGGAAAGGTCAAAGGTCAGAAAGATGACATGGACATCCTCCAAAATAATTAGGATATGTGCACTCACTGCAGATACACTCAAGGGTAGTACCAAACACAAACACACATGCACACACAAACGACACACTTGATTTATCTTGAAAACGACATGTTGTGAGACAACCCTGGATAAAATAAAGGTCAAGAGGAAATACTGTAGTCCACCTGTTGGTGATGTCCCGGTGTGCTATGAGGTTCTGTAGGAAGGCTTGTAGGCCTAACTGTCTCTCCTCCAGAAACTCCATGTCGTAGTTATCTTTGAACCAGCGCTTGGGTGGCAGGGCTAGTCTGAACCTGGGAAAGAACTCATTTAGCTGAGAGAGAGATGGAGGGGGAGAGAGAGAGAGAGAAAGAGAGCAGTTAAATATTTTATTCACATAAATTGCTCCCTCAAATTAGAGGGTGTCAAGTTGATGTCATTGATCTCCTCGTTTGATCTCACCGTTTCCCTCAATTTGGCCCTTGATTTGGCATAATTAAATGAGTCACAGAGAGTCACGCTCATAGAAATAGAATGGCCAGTCCATCTAGTGGAGAAGGTGAAGTGGGAAGGGAATATTCCGAATTGAGCCATGGTGTCTGCTGCAAGGAGCTCACCTTATCATTGAGTCTGGAGAAGTCTGTGTACCTTCTGAAGATCACCCAGTTCTCTTCCTGATTCCTTCTCACCAAGATTTTATACACCTGCAATAAAAAATAGGCCATGTTATTTTTCTATCATATACTGTATGCCAGGGGTCATCAACAGCCGCGGGACAATTTTTTCTTGAGCAGATGGCCACTAGACTGCAAATTGAGCGCAAGAAGCCCAAACAGATATAATGTGTGACTAAAACATAACTTCAAACCTTGTTTACATTTGTATACGATCACGTGTCTCTCTATTATGCGTGGGAATACTTGGGAACAGATGTCTTAAATTAAAATCACTTAGAGATGATTTCCTGGTGTTTTTACAGTATTTTATGTCCAACAATAAAAGAAAGACAAAGAAAGAAAGACACTTGGGGGGGCCAAATAAAAATAAATAAAGCCCCACGGGCTGCCAGTTGGGGAACTCTGCTGTATACACACAAAGACATGGATGTAACTAACCACAGCCATAACCCAATGTTTGTTCAGTTGTGTTAAAGGTATACTCTTATCAGACACTTAGTGTATCTCTGTACTCAACTTATCTTTAGATACTATTTTAGTGAGTGTGTTTTAAAACCAAGCCAACTACACATAAAAACACAGTTTCTGATGCCTTTTTTTTTTTTATATACAGTACCAGTCAAAAGTTAGAAAAGCATTCCTCATGAAGCTGGTTGAGAGAATGCCAAGAGTGTGCAAAGCTGTCATCAAGGCAAAGGGGTGGCTCCTTTGAAGAATCTCAAATATAAAATATATTTTGATTTGTTTAACACTTTTTTGGTTACTACATGATTCCATATGTGTTATTCCATAGTTTTGATGTCTTCACTATTATTCTACAATGTAGAAAATAGTACAAATAAAGAAAACCCCTGGAATGAGTAGGTGTGTCCAAACTTTTGACTGGTATTGTATATCTAAAAAGGAGATTGTGGTTGTTAGAATAAAATACAGCTACCATCCCTAACTGAATCATACTCCACATAGTCACTTCCTTGTGACTGGTTGTCTATCTCTGTCCATTTAACAACAGATGCTCATCACACACACACACACACACATATTATTTGCTCAGCCTTTTCCACCAATGAGAGCACACATGATAGAGGCATTCAAACAGTCACAAAATCGTATGGAATTCAACCAGATGGGATGAAACATTTGCCTCCAACAGTGACAAAGCTATAACTCTTTCAAACAAAATGCTGCATACTACAGTAACTACCATTTAATAACTGATGGAAACTTGAAACTTGGATGGAATTTTTAAACCAAGTTCCCTGACATCATGTGTGCAGGCTTTTTAGTTCCAGCTAAGTACCACCTGCTTCAACCAATCAAGGGCTTGATGGCTAGTTTAATCAAATAAGGTGTGTTCATAGAACTATAATTAATCAATCCTATGGGTGACTCCTTACCGTGAACTTTGCCCTCTCCTCCATGACCTCATAGCCCAGCAGGGTCGGGGTGAGGGGCCTCTCCCAACTGTCCCCTGGAGTCCCATCCTCCTGGACTGACCCCTGCTCCCCTCCTCTGGATGTCCTGTACCCCTCGGGGCTGGAACACGCCTGGGGGAGGATCGGACAGGCTACTGTGGCCCCCCAGGACCCAGTGGCCTTCACCCAGGGGGTCTTTCCAGGAGAGGAAAAGCCAGCACTAGAGATAATTCCCAATGGGGAGGTCCTCTTGGGCCAGGACGGGGTCCGTTCCATGGGGACAGGCACTGGGACAAAGGGGGTGGCCATCTTATCTCTCTACCCTCTTGAATAATGAAGTGGGAAAAACAGGAGTTTGAGTTGTTACATTGTCATCCATTATCTGTTCAAGAGAGAGAGAGAGAGAGAGAGAGAGAGAGAGAGAGAGAGAGAGAGAGAGAGAGAGAGAGAGAGAGAGAGAGAGAGATATTTGGATACTCACATGCTGTAGCCTATCCCTGGCTATTTAGAAACGAATTGCTCTGATGTGGAGAAGGAGATGTGGATAATGGACAGACCCGAGAAGATACTCCGCATGCCTGACAGCTGTAGATGATAAAGAAACTAACAAATTCCAGTCAGATTCGCTGAAATCCACGACGTATGCATACCAGATGAAGTTTATGGACAGAACATCTGCATTGTCAATCACTCACTTCCCGCATAATCCTAGTGGAACAAAACGGAAGAATGACTCCTTCCGGGCATGGGCGGACGGGATACGCTAACGTAAACATGATCATGTGCTAATCGTCATGATCATTCCTACCGAGCATATTAGAAAGTTCAGAGTGTGAATATCCGACTCAAATAGGTTTATTTGTCACTTGCTGTAGCCTACTTTGAGTGTACACAAAATAATTATTTGATCAAAAATAATTACACTTTGGCTAACTTTTCTTTTTTCTCCATTTAGCTAGTTTATGCAAAGACGCACCCCACTGGGCGTGCTGGTTGAATTGACGTTGTTTCCACAACAACCAACGTGGAATAGACGTTGAATTGACGTCTGTACCCAGTGGGACATCTCTGACAATTCAAGGCACTACAGTATGATGCCGCGTTCATATGCTAGTCTGAACTAGGAAACACGGACATTTCCGACATGCCAACTGGTTGTAGTTACACACGTGCCGGCATTAGTTTAGAAACTATGGATGCATACCAATTTTATTTCGTTCCCTCTCACGTAGGCTAGATATAAAAGCGCACTTCTCTTTCACAATCGGTCACAAACAGAATTGGAGCAAAATCCCCTTGTAGAGCAACCCAGGTCCTTCAAAATTCATTGAAAACCATCACGTCATGATACGCAAATATCTGGGAAATTCCCAAATAGATTGGAAATTCTACAATCCGCTTGCTTGAGTTTTCTATCTTGCTCCTCTGTCCTCTCTCAAAAAGCTAAACCCTCAACTCTTACAAATGCATCACCAAAATCACAAACGAAACACACAACTTATTTTTATGATCGTTTTTTGGGGGGATAAACTATCAATGATAAACCAGAAATGGATGTGTTTGGATTAAATGCGGAATACATTTCAGTTGAATGCATTCAGTTGTACAACTGACTAGGTATCACCCTTTCCTCACTGTCAACAATATGTTACATATATTTATTGTCTCTCTGCTGTCACAAAAAAACTGTACTGTCACATGTGGGCGTGTCTAAATCCCTACATGCCAATTTCCCAGCAAAGGCGTTAAAAAATACCGTAAAGTTAAAATATGCGCGCACAACTTGTCTTTTTCATGTTTTACTTTTAATTTTTGTCGCGTTATGAAATATGATGGGATATATTTGCTACTTGACAAGTCAAACCAATTATAGCAAAGTACTTCAGATGGTGCCAGATCGTTGCACAACGATGCAGTCCTTTTTGAAGAGTCAATGAGCTTGTTTTAGTGGTAAGGCTGAAGCAACCGACTGCAGACGAAAGTCGAGGAGGGAAGCTGTGGGAAGTGCATCTGCGCCAGCCAAGTCTCGGGCTGAAAATTGCAGTCGAAACTTCATGACCTTTGATCACATAGTTGTTGTAAAGTTCATGCAGTCGACGTGTAGGCGCAAATCGGACCGTTTTTATCCTTATAATGTATCGCACTTTGAAAGGCGACTTGACAAAAGTGATCCGCTCGAACGAGCCCAATCACAACGCCACAATAACGTTCGGATCCTGAATGTAACTCAAAGAAACCCGGAAGGCTCTTGTCATCCCATCCCTTCACAAAATTACAACAACGGACACCGAAACCACCGCTTTCGTAGCTACCTAAACGTAGAATTCACACCTTGCTGTCCTTAGTTTAATCTGTCAGTTATTTTGTAGCACGCTTCTAGCTAGCTAACTCATGTCGGACTTCTGCAGGGTCGTTAGCTAACAAGTATAAATCAGTCACCGGTTGTTTTGGCGTGGAGTGGTTGTTAGCCCTTAACGTTATTCGTTAGAGAGTTTGACACGTTGAAAGAGGTGGACAGTCTGTACATTTTTTTGAATCAACAATTCAAGTCACTGATTTTTTTTCGACGTCCAGCTGCATTCATTACCACTGGCAGCGCAAACGCATTTCATGAAACCTGCGAGTCAAACGTCATTACGTTAGCTGGCTAGCTACCTTTCAATGGAACATTTATGAATCTGTGCTCGGCTGTGTCAAGCCATCAGGGTCTTTTCGTTGCGTCGTGAACAGGAACTCTCAATTCCGCTTTCTCTTTTAGGCAGAGGAGGACAAGCCTTTTTCAAGAGGTCCTTATTGTAGGTTCACAATAATTATGGAGCAGCAGCACACGGGCTGTGTGAACCTTTGTAGTCTCACGAGCACTCTACCGGTGATTCCCTATCAAAAGCTGACTGACTTGCATTACCTGAGTAAAGGTGGGTTCGGAACCGTGTTCAAGGCACAGCATTGCGATTGGCGGACCACCGTTGCCATCAAGTGTCTGAAATTGGATTCCCCTGTTGGCGAAAGGTATGTTTGTTCAAATCATTTTACTAGATTAAGTATGACTATATGCCATTAGATCTAATCTGACTACAATCAATCATTGCCTTGTCAGATTTGATTAATGTATCGACTAGATAGATCATGACTCAAAGTTCCATTACATTACACATAAGAGTCATTAGACGAAGACGTCTTCTGTACAGGGGAGTTTTGTTAAGAGCCCCGACACTAAATCTGATAATTAACATGCGTTGCTTGCGTACCGCAACGGGTTTGGAAGCGTAATGACATTTATCTTTTATATCAGCTAAAAATAATTTTCTAAAAACAAAAGGTTAAATTGATACACACCTTTTATAGGGTTGCCACACAGCCACATTTCCATGTTACAGCATTTATTTACGGAAGACCTGTGCTAATTAGTGCTCTGCGTCTCCGAACACTTTGTGTGTAAACGGAAGACAGACGCCACAAACGTATTGTCATTGAAAAATACTGTCGGCTGCAACTGTGTTAAAACCGGTTAAAACAGTGTACAGTAAGTGTGTATTTAGCATTTGTGAAATTATTTTGATATGATATGAAAGTAGAGGGATTTATGTTTCTAGAACCGTACCCTCAATTGAGAATCGATTCACATTTAGTTGGAGTATTTGGCTGTTTTGCCTTCCAGAGCCAATTCGCCCTTTTTAAATAGAAAATGTAAGGTCCTTGGACTAAGAAGTAAAGTTAGGCTCTCCTCTAGTCCAATATTGGGCTAAAGGAGAAGTAGATATTACAAGCCTCTTGGCTATGTGCTGATTTGGATGGAAAACAGTGAAATTAATGTATTTTTCTATCACTCAGAAATGTTTCTTATTTTCTCAATACGCACGAAGATTCAATATGAATATCAATCCCTGTGTCATTTGAATGACTAATGTCAAAATGTAATCTAATCATGACTGTTTACAGGGAGAGGAATTGCCTGCTGAAGGAGGCGGAGGTGCTTCACAAGGCCAGGTTCAACTACATCATCCAGATCTTCGGCGTGTGCAACGAGCCCGAGTTCTTCTGTATCGTCACTGAGTACATGAGCAATGGCTCTCTGGATCAGCTGCTTCATGAGGTACACACCGTTTAGTAAGAACAGTGTACATGTTCAGACAAGGGAGTCGGGACTGAAGCACAATAATCTTGCCATACCAGTCTAGGGTGTTTCATTTTCTTCTCCCACACAACTGTTTCAAAGCAGAGTATAGGCGTAGTCTGCGTTGCAAACTCATTTTGAATGAAGAAGCAGTCATTCAGGCATTGGTATCAGATTGCTATGACTGAAAATGCAAGCGCTGCAATGTTGGCACAATACTTTGCAGTGGCGTTTCCTCTCATTCCCCCTGTGAGCATGGTTGAGAATACATTTGGTAAAAGGTAGATGTTTGAGTTTCCTTTTCCTGTGGACACATTAAATAGCACTAGGCATCGTTTCTTTCTCTCATGCTCCAGTTGACAAGACACATACCACATTATCTAAAGCCTTGTTTGAGTGAGCAAAGACGTGACAAGCCAGGCGTATTAGCGGATGATGAAACCAACGAAGCAGGGTTGAAAATGAAATGTAGGCTATAGGTTTCGGGCCACAACACTTCTGGGAAATCACCACAATACATTCCATTTCACTTTCTCACTCCCTACTTCCCCCCCCCACACACACACACACACATTCTATTTCCCTCTCTCTGCAACTCTTCCCAAGGTCCTTAGTGTACAAGATAAAGTAGTGTACTATGTTTCTGTCCACATTTTGTTACGATACAGCCTTATTCTACAATGGATTAAAAAATATAAAATAATCCTCATCAATCTACACACAATACCCCATAATGACAAAGCGAAAACAGGTTTAGACATTTTTGCTAATTTATAAAAATAAAAAAAAACATAGCTTATTCAGATATTCAGATCCTTTGCTATGAGACTCGAAATTGAGCTCAGGTGCATCCTTTTTCGTTGATCATCCTTGAGATGTTTCTACAACTTGATTGGAGTCCACCTGTGGTCGAAGGAATTGTCCCTAGAGCTCCAAGACAGGATTGTGTCAAGGCATAGATCTGGGGTAGGGTACCAAAAAATGTCTGCAGCATTGAAAGTCCCTAATAACACAGTGGCCTCCATCATTCTTAAATGGAAGAAGTTTGGAACCACCAAGACTCTTCCTGGAGCTGGACGCCCGGCCAAACTGAGTAATCGGGGGAGAAGGGCCTTCGTCAGGGAGGTGACCAAGAACCCGATGGTCAAGCTGACAGAGCTCCAGAGTTCCTCTGAGGAGACGGGAGAACCTTCCAGAAGGACAACCATCTCTGCAGCACTCCACCAATCAGGCCTTTATAGTAGAGTGGCCAGACGGAAGCCACTCCTCAGTAAAATGCACATGACAGCCTGCTTGGAGTTTGCCAAAAGGCACCTAAAGGACTCTCAGATTCTCTGGTCTGATGAAACCAAGATTGAACTCTTTGGCCTGAATGCCAAGCGTCACGTCTGGAGGAAACCTGGCACAATCCCTACGGTGAAAAATGGTGGTGGCAGCATCATGCTGTGGGTATGTTTTTCAGCGGCAGGGACTGGGAGACTAGTCAGGATCGAGGGAAAGATGAACGGAGCAAAGTACAGAGAGATCCTTGATGAAAACCTGCTCCTGAACACTCAGGACCTCAGACTGGGGCGAAGGTTCACCTTCCAACAGGACGACAACCCTTGTGAGATTTGTTTATGACAGTTTGCGGTGGAACACGTGAAAATTGCATGTACTTTCAGAATTGTTTGGCGAGTTACTCATAGGTGGGCTGCGAGTAACTGGTAGCTCGCTATCGGCCCGCTGGAGACCCCTGGTGGTCACAATGTGTTTCCTTTCTCTCCTCCCACACTCTGTAGAAGACCCTGTACCCCCTGCTGGCCTGGTCGTTGAGGCTGCGTGTCCTGTATGAGATAGCTCTAGGGGTTAACTTCCTACACAACATGACCCCACCCCTCCTGCACCACGACCTCAAGACACAGAACATTCTGCTCGACGGAGAGTTTCATGTCAAGGTGTGTGTCAACCTCCATCCTACTTAGCAGTTTTGTTATTATATAGTCCCCTGAATCACTGTTAGTCTACACCTGTTGTTTACAAAGCATGTGGCAAATAACATTTGATTTTTGTTTTGCTAAGTTAAGGGCAATTTGTCTTACATTTAATATGACAGTATAGTATTCATGGTTCCAATTAAACTGTTTGGTCCCACTGAAAAAGGGGGCAGGGGAGGATCTAGAATATGAATCAGCTCTCCATCATCCAGGGCAACCCTCCCGCATGAACCAATTTAATCTTAACCTGCCCCAATTAAGCTTCAAGCATTAATTTTTGAATTTCCATGAGAAATAGCCTAGGCCTCCATATTTGAATGAATTTGCTGAGTCTCTGACGATCAATGTCTCCTTGGAGGTCCAGGGTTGTGTTCTGTAGGGAGAAAGTGTTTGAAAACTGAGCGAAACGGGGAGGTACTACCTGTACAAGAACAGATTTTAACTTTTCATTGCAAAACCCAGCTCTCTTAACAGGTTGTTGTCCTTGTTGTATCCAGATAGCAGATTTTGGCCTGTCTAAGTGGCGTCAGCTGTCCATCAGTAAAGGCTCAGGATCCAAGCCACCTGAGATGGGGGGCACCGTCATCTACATGCCCCCCGAGGCGTACGAACCCTCCAAGAGCCGCAGGGCAGACTCCAAACATGACATGTACAGGTGAGCCAACCAGAACCAGGGTTTGAGTTATAGGACATAGCCAGCTGGCCAGATCTGTTTGTGCTTTAGCCGGCTCCTCTGCTATATTCATGACAGTGAACAACCGAGCACCTAAAGCCCGAAGGGGGGAGGGGTGGGGGATGTCTCATGTTCTGACAAACACCACTGCAGCTCGGCCACTTTCCACCACAGATGCGGAAGGCCGACATAGGCGGATGCGGCGGATTGAGACGCACCCTATGCAAAAAAACATATCTCTATCTTAAACTGGCAGATTTTGATGGGGATTTTTTTATTATGTTACTTAGATTGATCAATAGACTCTTAAGGATTAAAGGGAAGATTGCAGCATTAGGTTGCTGTTAAACATTCTGATTTATTTCATCCTTCCAACTAAAAGTCCCAATACGACATATCACTTTACATTTATAGTTTTTATATTTCATCCAAATTTGACGGAAGTCATTTCGGAAAAGTAGTGTAAAGAGCAGGAGTGAAGCCACATAAGGTGAAGACCCACATCATACCAAGTCCTCCTATTGTAAAAATATATATATATTCTGACACTGAATAAAGGCAACTTATCATCTGACCATATCATGCGATTTCTTTATTCTGTATCAGCAAAAAAAATTTGCTCACAATACAGCTCGCAGGCTTTTAGCATAGACCCTTTTACACCCCTGGCTTACCCCTTCTAGCTAACCACTAGCAGCCTTGAAACACATCACTTATCAGCATTTCTCATACTGTTACACAAAATCAAGATAAACAGTACATCACTGGGGTCGAGCTCCCTGCCTTCCAGGACCTCTATACCAGGCGGTGTCAGAGGAAGGCCCTAAAAATGGTCAGACTCCAGCCACCCAAGTCATAGACTGTTCTCTCTGATACCGCACGGCAAGCGGTATCGAGAGCGACAAGTCTAGGACCAAATGGTTCCTGAATAGCTTGTGCCCCCAAGCCATAATATTGCTGAATAGTTCATCAAATGGCTACCAGGACTCTATGCACACTCACTGGACTCTACCCACACATACTGAACTGACACTCCAACATACAAACACACATGCATATTTCTGTGGGGATCCACCTCATCAAATACACAACTAGTTTCTACAACATTCCTAGCATATATTTTTCAAAAGAAGTAGCAGAAGTGTCAGCCAGTGAGAGATTTTTCACATAACTTTAAAGGGGGCTGAACTTCCTGATTTTAGCCTCGGTTTCAATTATCCTCGTTACGAAATGTGACTGAGAACGAGATTTGGTTTTGGAGTCGTGCTTTGATGTGGGTGTCTCGTGTGGGTGTGTGTTGGAACGTGGGAAGCGTTTGTACTTTCACTCTGCCAAAACGGTACACAGTTAGTCCATCACCCTTTTAGATCACTTCAAACAGTCCAACCAGGTCTTGTGTCTGGAAGTAGCCTAAACTAGCTAGCAAGCTAGCCAACAACTTTCGCCAATTACCTTCAGCCGGCCGGTGTGCAACCGTGGCAAAGTTGGTTTACCTTTGGATAGCCTATCTGTGGGGCTAATTTGGGACGTCAATAAATTACACAATGTGAACGGAACAATATTTTTATGTTGCACACCTTTTAGTTGTCTCATTAAATGCTTTCAATATTTGTATATGAATTTCTACAATTTATAGTTGGTTTGAGGTTAAGTAATTGAAATTTGGAGCTATTGACATTAAAAAAATATTGTCCCATGTACATTGTGTAATTTACTGATGGTCCCTAACTAACCCCATAGGGATATCAAATGTCAAATAAAATGTACCATGGGCATTATGATCGGGTTGCATGCAGCTGCACTCCGAATTGATGATTACTTGGGTGCTGTGGGCAGGATTGAAATAAACCCAAGGAAAACTGTTAAGGTACCCTTAATTCCGTGACATAACATTATTTCCTAATTATCTCGCAAATATCCGCTTTGGACGAGACTGACTTTATGACCAAAATTATCCTATTTACACTTTGTAGTCAATTTTGACACTAGAATAAATGATTCTGACTCATTTTTTTATTTCACCTTTATTTAACTAGGTAAGCCAGTTGAGAACAAGTTCTCATTTACAACTGCGACCTGGCCAAGATAAAGCAAAGCAGTATCGATGCCAGAGGCCGTTTTCAAAAGGAGAAGTTAGTTATCACGTTCAGTTGCTATTTAATAGAAGATTCTGTATTTCAAGGCAAGTGTAGTATTTAGCCTACGGTAAATCAGTCCACATTCCTCCCGGAGCAAACAGCGAGGAACTTTGTTGTGTTAATTTCATTGATCTCAGCAAGTGTCTCTAGGGAGCTTGCACTTTCTAGATTAACACCCCCTTAAAGGAACCCCTCGTTTCAGTGAAGATGTCACAAAAGGAAATGCTGAAAAGAGATATGAAACTAGCTCTTCAAGTTCCCCTAACCTGACTGATTGACAGTCACTGGGGCCTCTGGGCAGGTGACTTGAACAGCTGTCATCATGACTGAGTCATTCCGCCACTGGGGAAGTGTGTTGGCCTTTTGTGTAAGACTGAGGAAATGAGATTCATGACTGATCTTAGTATTATTAGACCTCCCTTTAAGGGGAATGCTCATCTGACATAAATGGTTTTTTTCTCCACAGAGGCTGCTATTCTAACTGTGGGCCAAATAATACTTTTTCTTTATGTTCCCATTTTAGTTACGCTATCATTATGTGGGAGGTGCTGGCCAGGAGGATACCATTTGAAGGTAATTTAAGGTGTAGATGTTTTTAGTTTTTTTACTGTTGGAATGCATTGCTTTTACAAACATTCGTACTGTATGTGTTTTATGGATGTTAATAACCTCACTTTTATGGGATCATATAACTTAATTCAAAATAAATGTCAGCTATACGTACACATTAGATTAGTCAGTGACATATACCAAATTCATGAGTTAACATTTATGGTCCTCTGCATGCTTGAAAATAGGAAAACACAAAGGCCAAATATAGTTGGAGGCGTCAGTGGGATTTCCAGCCGGAAGTGATATTACATTAAATCTTCATTCAGAAGTAAAAAACTGAGTGAGCATTTGTTTTTATGTACAGAGGCGACCAACCCCATGCAGATCATGTTCAGCGTGCTGCGGGGAGCGCGTCCGGACACAGGCCTGGACTGTCTGCCAGGGGACATCCCCAGCAGGGAGACACTCATCAACCTCATGACTTTCGGCTGGACCGCCAACCCCGACGAACGGCACTCCTTCCTCCGTAAGAGACAGGACCTCTAACCTTTGACCTCAACTCGTTACCGTCACGTAGGCTGAAGTTGCCCCTAGACACAGATCTCACATCAGTTTGGCGCGTTCCTGCCCCAAATGGTTAAGGTTTGGATTTGGGGGACTTCTACCCAGAGCCCAACAAAATACCCTTTCTTCTCAGTAAGAGATCACCCCTAACCTTTCATCTGACCTCACAGTAACCTTTACTGACTCAGACGGATGCCACTCCTCTAACCTTACCTTGTTACTTGGCGCAGAAACTTCCCTTAAGATCAACATGCCTAACTCAATGTTTTGTACAATTATTCCATTGATATCAATGTATTATCTATGTAGGTGTTGTAAGTATACATTTGTCCCTAAAAGCTATAGAGCCATAACCGTCTCCACCTGTCCTGTGCAGAGTGTGTGATGGAGCTGGAGCCAATGCTGAGGAGGTTTGATGAAATCGACATCCTGGAGGCCGTGCTGGAGGTCAAGAAGTCAAAGGTCAGTCAGTAACGAGACTGTCCAGTACACACGTCAACAGGAAAGAGTTTGGCAGGAAACATACAGTCCCAATTCATTCACTATGACTCAAGTAACCTTGTCCCCAGGCTATCACATGACCTCACTGTGTGTATTGCTAAATGTTTTAGTTCCGTTTGTGATAGCCCCAAATTTGATGGCTTCAGACTTGACCAGGGTTTGGAGCATCGTGGCTCATTGATATGTCTTGAGATGGATGACTCACCAAATTACGAACAGAGAGACAAACGGATTACTTCACATTTTGGTAGAAATAATCCACCATCCCCTACTTTCACTTCATTATTCAACATAAGAGGTGGAAAGAAATGCACACAATGATATGCATCGGTTTATAGCAGCATATCATTCTCTCTCCCTCTCTCTCCCCCCCCCTCCCTCCCTCTCTCTCCCCCCCTCCCTCTCTCTCCCCCCCTCCCTCTCTCTCCCCCCCCCCCTCTCTCTCCTCCCCCCCTCTCTCTCCCCCCCCCCTCTCTCTCTCCCCCCCCCCCTCTCTCTCCTCCCCCCCCCTCTCTCTCTCCCCCCCCCTCTCTCTCCTCCCCCCCCTCTCTCTCTCCCCCTCTCTCTCTCTCCCCCTCCCCTCTCTCTCTCCCCCTCTCTCTCTCCCCCCTCCCTCCCTCTCTCTCTCCCCCCCTCCCTCCCTCTCTCCCCCCCTCCCTCCCTCTCTCCCCCCTCCCTCCCTCCCTCTCTCTCTCTCTCTCCCCCCCTCCCTCTCTCTCTCTTTCTCTAGCTGATGAGGAGGGCAGGCTGTTACTCTGCCACACCCATGGTGTGTGAGAAAGGGAGGGAGAAGGAGAAGTCTCTGAACATTCTGAAGAACAACCCCAGTCCCTGGCCGCCAGTGAGTATAATGACCGGCTGTCCCCGGCAAAACTTTTTTTGGGTCGACAGAGAGTCGTCTGTTCTTTTGACAAATCGATAGGTCGAAATTGTAAAACGTGTATTTTTCATTATATTAACACACCCTATGTGTTTTAATCAAATAAACTACATGCACTGAGCTTGTCAGATGCTTTAAGCGCACTGTTTGATGAAATAATTAAGACACACCAATGTGGCAGTTCATGTTCTTCAATCGCATTCATCGATCTACTCCGCCTGTCTGCAACGAACTTGAAAGTGGAACGTTGTATCAACTGTCAGGCCCAAAGCTTTCCCTAGCGAACTAGCAACATTGTATCAACTATTCTGAGCCCTCAGTTTCCCATGCCAGTGAGCTCCGGACAGACACAGCTGTATTTGCACAAAGTAATCAGGTTTCCACTGGATCAGAGCATTACATTTTTCCCACTAGCACCGAGGCTCGGTGGTTTTCGAAAGGGATAGAGCTGGAAAGATTTCACAAATACATTTGAGGAGCTATTGTCATTCTCAATGGATGTAAAAACATACTTTGTTTACTTGCTGTTTTTAAGGTGAAGAAATAATTACTTTGCAAAGCTCCACAGCTCATTAGTAGTGGTGAGTTAATACTATCAGACATCCCCAAATGGCCACGTTTATACATTTGCGCGTCGGCCAGGTAGCCTATAGGCCTACTTCTATTTGTAATCAGGTCCTTACTCAACATTGACAGGAGCGCTCCAAACAAAAGACAATGAATGAATTGACAACTTGTAAATGGAATGAAATAAACCAAGACTTGTGTAGCAGGTTGTGAGCTCTGCAAACAACGTGTCCACTCTGTAACGACTGTAATAATCATATATTGAATGTGTTAACAGAAATGACCTTAACCAAACAAATATTGTAGATTTAGAATTTATGGGGATTAATGGTAAATGTACTACTGGTGATATACTGTATGTAATGGGGAATTGATAGACACTAACAAAGGGCAAACTATTTACACGATTAAGTTATGAAACAATGAATGCAAACGAATTGGCGGGAGAGAGCGCATTCTGGAGAGAGACACGCCTTGTGCATTTTAGCCCCACACTCCTTTTTTTCTTGACGCAACATTTTAAATTATACCCAAGACACATTATCTTCACACATACTGTAGGCCTAAGGAATACTCTCATGAACTGTGGCAGGACCAAAGCAGAAGCCATTTATGGAAAACCAATGCAATTTCACTAATTTATCAAATTGCTTGGTGTGCCAAGGCAAATACCCTCATGGCACGCGTGCCTTACGTTGCCGTGGCCTGCCCACGCGTGCCTTACGTTGCCGTGGCCTGTCCACGCGTGCCTTACGTTGCCGTGGCCTGCCCACGCGTGCCTTACGTTGCCGTGGCCTGTCCACGCGTGCCTTACGTTGCCATGGCCTGCCCACGCGTGCCTTACGTTGCCATGGCCTGTCCACGCGTGCCTTCCGTTGCCATGGCCTGTCCACGCGTGCCTTCCGTTGCCATGGCCTGCCCACGCGTGCCTTACGTTGCCATGGCCTGTCCACGCGTGCCTTACGTTGCCATGGCCTGTCCACGCGTGCCTTCCGTTGCCATGGCCTGTCCACGCGTGCCTTCCGTTGCCATGGCCTGTCCACGCGTGCCTTCCGTTGCCATGGCCTGTCCACGCGTGCCTTACGTTGCCATGGCCTGCCCACGCGTGCCTTCCGTTGCCATGGCCTGCCCACGCGTGCCTTCCGTTGCCATGGCCTGTCCACGCGTGCCTTCCGTTGCCATGGCCTGCCCACGCGTGCCTTACGTTGCCATGGCCTGCCCACGCGTGCCTTACGTTGCCATGGCCTGTCCACGCGTGCCTTCCGTTGCCATGGCCTGTCCACGCGTGCCTTCCGTTGCCATGGCCTGCCCACGCGTGCCTTACGTTGCCATGGCCTGTCCACGCGTGCCTTACGTTGCCATGGCCTGTCCACGCGTGCCTTACGTTGCCATGGCCTGCCCACGCGTGCCTTACGTTGCCATGGCCTGCCCACGCGTGCCTTACGTTGCCATGGCCTGTCCACGCGTGCCTTCCGTTGCCATGGCCTGTCCACGCGTGCCTTACGTTGCCATGGCCTGTTCACGCGTGCCTTACGTTGCCATGGCCTGTCCACGCGTGCCTTACGTTGCCATGGCCTGTGCCATCCCCGCAGCCTCCACAATGGATTAGTCCAGGCACCAATCAGACAGGTGTCTTATGTGTCATGAAAAAATATATATATTTGCGACCACTTAACAAAAAAAAATATGTTAACCAACAGCCTGAATACTTTCTGAAGGCACTGTATATATCTGTTTTTTTAGAGCCAGTTTACTCTTATGCGTAGCTGTGCGTGTGCATGTTTTTACCATGCTGTGTCTCTGCCATAGGGAAGCTCCACCTCTGGCTCTGGGTCTTGCTCCTCCCAGGACACGGACTTCTCCCAACCAAGCTCCCTCACTAGCACCAATGCTCCGCCTTCTAAAGGTAAATCCGCCCACTTTCCTGTACTGTGATTGACAGCTGTGATTGACAGTTAACTTTTTGCCCTGAAGGGAAATAATGATTTTCCTGAGTTTTAGTCTGTTTCTGCATTGTATACGAGTTGATACCCAGTTCTCTTTGTCTTCTCCCACATCTCTTTCCTTTAGTTCAGGGGTGTCAAACGTCCGGCCCGCGGGCCAGATCAGGCCCGCAAACGGGTTTAATCCGGCCCGCGAGATGATAAAAAAAAAAAATATATATATATATATATATTTTTTTAATTTTTTTGTAAAGTATAAAAATGCGCTGCAATTTTTCAATAAAATAAACTGCTGTTCCAATTGCGTCCACTGGATGGCGCAATAGCAATTGTGTTAAGCAAGCAAACTGTTTATACCGGGGCAGAGCAAGTAGGTCAAGCACGTGCAGCCAATGAGCTACTTTGTTTTGCCCGCAATATTTATTACGGCTTCTACTTTTAACATTATGTGCTTTGGCACCCTCATTGCCCCAATATGTCTCTGTCAAAAAAGAGAAAAGTGGACGCAGAGTGTTCCAAGAAAAATGGTCATCCTATTTATTCACGGAATTGAATGGGAAAGCTGTATGTTTGGTGTGTTCAGAGCATGTTGCAGTGCTGAAATAATATAACCTTCGTCGCCACTATGTGAGTCTTCATGCCGACAAATATGACAACTTTCAAGGACAGCGGAGATGAGAGAAGGTGAATGAACTGTTGGCGGGTCTGAAGAAACAGCAGTCTGTGTTTACTCACAGCCGAGACATCAGTGACGCTGCAGTGAAAGCTAGCTACCTCATTGCTAATGAAATCGCAGTGACTTCAAAACCATTTAGTGAGGGTGAATTTGTAAAAACATGCATGATGAAGGCAGCGGAGATTGTGTGCCCTGAAAAGCGGCAGGCTTTTGCAAATATCAGCCTGACAAGAAACACAGTTGCAGACAGGATTTCCGATCTTTCAGTGGATTTGGACAGCCAGTTGAAGCAAAAAGTAAAGTCATTTATTGCGTTTTCGGTTGCAATTGATGAAAGCACGGACATTACAGATGTTGCACAACTGGCCATTTTCATCCGCGGAGTTGATGACACATTGACCGTCACCGAGGAGTTCGTGGAGTTGGTGCCGATGACAGATACAACGACAGCAGCTGATATTTTTACCGCACTCGTCGGCGCGCTGGACAGGGTCGGAGTGGACTGGTCCCGCGCTGTCAGCCTGGCTACAGATGGTGCGCCCTCAATGATCGGGAAAAAAGCAGGCGTTGTGACAAAGTTCAGAGAGAAAGTGCAATCTGCAAATGGAGGACGTGATTTTTTGACTTTTCACTGTATTTTGCACCAGGAGGCTTTGTGTTGCAAGTCATTAAAGATGGATAACGTCATGAAGGTGGTCATCCAAACTGTTAATTTCATCCGATCCAGAAGCCTGAATCACCGTCAGTTTGACAGCCTTCTCAGAGAGAAAGACCACATCTATGGCCTGCCATACCACACTGAGGTAAGATGGTTAAGCCGAGGTGCTGTGCTGAGGCGTTTCTTTGATTTACGAGAAGAAATTGAACAGTTCATGGAAGAAAAGGGCAAACCAGTGTTAGAATTTCATTCCGCAGAATGGATGCAGGACCTTGCATTTATGGTGGATGTTACAGAGCGCCTGAATAACTTGAACAAACAGCTGCAAGGGCGCAACAAAGTTGCCACGCAGTATTATGACAGCATACGTTCTTTCAAGTTGAAGCTGTCATTGTAGGAGACGCAACTCGCCGGTGGTGATGCAGCTCACTTCCCCTGTCTGAAAAATGTGTGCGCGACCCAACATGTGGCAGACATGAAGCGGTTCAAAGATAAAATAACGGGACTGTTACGGGAGTTTGAGCAACGCTTTCAGATTTATGTTTATATGTTTTTATGTTGATGTGCTATTGTTTTTAATTGATTTTATTTTATTTGTATATTTAACCTATTCTTGACTCTGTGGTTCTTGCACTTGTTTGGGGAACAGGATTTCATTATTTTTATCTACATTTCTGCCTGAGAAATGACACCCTGATTATAGATCTGAAACAGTTCTGTTAATCACTGAGGCATTGTGTGTTTGTGTGTTCTTTTTCTTTAGAATTTTCAAATAAACTTGACGTGTTATGATTAATAGTGATGTTGTGCTTGTACTATTTTGGACACACTGTCCTCAGGCTCCAGCTTTATGTTGTATGTTGATCGTATTAAAACAAAGAAAACAATCTGAAGTTGTTGTTTTTAAGTTATATATACCATGATTTTTCCGGTCCGGCCCACTTGGGAATATATTTTCCTCCATGTGGCCCCTGAGCTAAAATGAGTTTGACACCCCTGCTTTAGTTAATGAGGAGGAACTTCCTCCCTGGAGAAAAGCCTCCTCTGATTGACACCCACCTCTCCTTGTCTCCCCCCAACCCCTCCTCTTCCTCATGCCTCCTAGAAGTGTCCCCCTCGTTGTTCATGCCCCACACCCTGGAGCCTCCGCAGCCCCTCAGAGAGCAGAGCCTGGGGGACAACAACCTCAACTACCCCCAGAGCGCCCGGCCCCTGGACGAGCTCAACATTCCCCTCAAACCGGGCCTGCCTGAAACGGAGTGTGTGACTCATCTGGACAACCTCACCCTGAAGCCACATCCATTACAACCCCAGCCAGGTAACGGAGGTAGAAGTTCAAAATTAAATCACATGACACAACTAACATTACACTCTCCTAGTCTCACTACCTACAGTTGAAGTAGGAAGTTTACATACACTTAGGTTGGAGTCATTAAAACTCGTTTTTCAACCACTTCACACATTTCTTGTTAACAAACTATAGTTTTGGCAAGTCTGTTAGGACATCTACTTTGTACATGACACAAGTAATTTTTCCAACAATTGTTTACAGACAGATTATTTAACCTATAATTCACTTTATCACAATTCCAGTGGGTCAGAAGTTTACATACACTAAGTTGACAGTGCCTTTAAACAGCTTGGAAAATTCCAAAAAATTATGTCATGGCTTTAAAAACTTCTGATAGGCTAATTGACATCATTTGAGTCAATTGGAGGTGTACCTGTGGATGTATTTCAAGGCCTACCTTCAAACTCAGTGCCTCTTTGCTTGACATCATGGGGAAATCAAAAGAAATCAGCCAAGACCTCAGAAAAATAATTGTAGACCTCCACAAGTCTGGTTCATCCTTGGGAGCAATTTCCAAACGCCTGAAGGTACCACGTTCATCTGTACAAACAATAGTACGCAAGTATAAACACCATGGGACCACGCAGCCGTCATACCGCTCAGGAAGGAGACGCGTTCTGTCTCCTAGAGATTAACGTACTTTGGTGTGCGAAAAGTGCAAATCAATCCCAGAACAACAGCAAAGGACCTTGTGAAGATGCTGGAGGAAACAGGTACAAAAGTATCTATATTCACAGTAAAACAAGTCCTGTATCGACATAACCTGAAAGGCCGCTCAGCAAGAAAGAAGCCACTGCTCCAAAACCGCCATAAAAAAGACAGACTACGGTTTGCAAATGCACATGGGGACAAAGATCGTACTTTTTGGAGAAATGTCCTCTGGTCTGATGAAACAAAAATAGAACTATTTGGCCATAATGACCATCTTTATGTTTGGAGGAAAAAGGGGATTGCTTGCAAGCCGAAGAACACCATCCCAACCGTGAAGCACGGGGGTGGCAGTATCATGCTGTGGAGGTGCTTTGCTGCAGGAGGGACTGGTGCATTTCACGAAATAGATGGCATCATGAGGAAGGAAAATTATGTGGATATATTGAAGCAACATCTCAAGACATCAGTCAGGAAGTTAAAGCTTGGTCGCAAATGGGTCTTCCAAATGGACAATAACCCCAAGCATACTTCCAAAGTTGTGGCAAAATGGCTTAAGGACAACAAAGTCAAGGTATTGGAGTGGCCATCACAAAGCCCTGACCTCAATCCTATAGAAAATGTGTGGGCAGAACTGAAAAAGCGTGTGCGAGCAAGGAGGCCTACAAACCTGACTCGGTTAAACCAGCTCTGTCAGGAGGAATGGGCCAAAATTCACCCAACTTATTGTGGGAAGCTTGTGGAAGGCTACTCGAAACGTTTGACCCAAGTTAAACAATTTAAAGGCAATGCTACCAAATACTAATTGAGTGTATGTAAACTTCTGACCCACTGGGAATGTGATGAAAGAAATAAAAGCTGAAATAAATAATTCTCTCTACTATTATTCTGACATTTCACATTCTTAAAACAAAGTGGTGATCCTAACTGACCTAAGAGAGGAATTGTTACTAGGATTAAATGTCAGGAATTGTGAAAAACTGAGTTTACAATGAGGGGAAAAGTATTTGATCCCCTGCTGATTTTGTACGTTTGCCCACTGACAAAGAAATGATCAGTCTTTAATTTTAATGGTTGGAGACAGAATAACAACCAAAAAATCAAGAAAAACGCATGTCAAAAATGTTATAAATTGATTTGCATTTTCATCAGAAAACATTCTGGTTCCCAGGTGTCTTTTATACAGGTAACGAGCTGAGATTAGGAGCACACTCTTAAAGGGAGTGCTCCTAATCTCAGTTTGTTACCTGTATAAAAGACACCTGTCCACAGAAGCAATCAATCAATCAAATTCCAAATTCTCCCCCATGGCCAAGACCAAAGAGCTCTCCAAGGATGTCAGGGACAAGATTGTAGACCTACACAAGGCTGGAATGGGTTACAAGACCATCGCCAAGCAGCTTGGTGAGAAGGTGACAACAGTTGGTGCGATTATTCGCAAATGGAAAAAACACAAAAGAACTGTCAATCTCCCTCGGACTGGGGCTCCATGCAAGATCTCACCTCATGGAGTTGCAATGATCATGAGAACGGTGAGGAATCAGCCCAGAACTACATGGGAGGATCTTGTCAATGATCTCAAGGCAGCTGGGACCATAGTCACCAAGAAAACAATTGGTAACACACTATGCCGTGAAGGACTGAAATCCTACAGCGCCCGCAAGGTCCCTCTGCTCAAGAAAGCACATACAGGCCTGTCTGAAGTTTGCCAATGAACATCTGAATGATTCAGAGGAAAACTGGATGAAGGTCTCTCCCGAGTGGCGCAGTGGTCTAAGGCACTGCATCACAGTGCTAGCTGTGCCGCTAGAGATCCTGTTTAGAATCCAGGCTCTGTCGTAGCCGGCGGCGACCGGGAGACCCATGGGGCGGCGCACAATTGTCCCAGCGTCGTCCAGGGTAGGAGAGTGAGGGATGTAGCTCAGTTGGTGGAGCATGGCGTTTTGCAACGCCAGGGTTGTGTGTTTGTTTTCCCACGGGGGTTTTGACATTTTTTTTTAAATAAAAAAATAATGTAAGTCGCTCTGGATAAGAGCGTTTGCTAAATGACAAAAAATAAACAAACAAAAGTGTTGTGGTCAGATGAGACCAAATTCGAGCTCTTTGGCATCAACTCAACTCGCCATGTTTGGAGGAGGAGGAATGCTGCCTATGACCCCAAGAACACCATCCCCACCGTCAAACATGGAGGTAGAAACATTATGCTTTGGGGGTGTTTTTCTGCTAAGGAGACAGGTCAACTTCACCGCATCAAAGGGACGATGGACTGGGCCATGTACCGTCAAATCTTGGGTGAGAACCTCCTTCCCTCAGCCAGGACAATGAACCAAAACACACAGCCAAGGCAACAAAGGAGTGGCTCAAGAAGAAGCACATTAAGGACCTGGAGTGGCCTATCCAGTCTCCAGACCTTAATCCCATAGAAAATCTGTGGAGGGAGCTGAAGGTTCGAGTTGCCAAACGTCAGCCTCGAAACCTTAATGACCTGGAGAAGATCTGCAAAATAGGAGTGGAACAAAATCCCTCCTGAGATGTGTGCAAACCTGGTGGCCAACTACAAGAAACGTCTGACCTCTGTGATTGCCACCAAGTACTAAGTCACGTTTTGCAGAGGGGTCAAATACTTATTTCCCTCATTAAAATGCAAATCAGTTCATAACATTTTTGACATTTTTTACAATTTTTTTTGTTATTCTGTCTCTCACTGTTCAAATAACCCTACCATTAAAATTATAGACTGATCATGTCTTTGTTAGTGGGCAAATTTACAAAATCAGCAGGGGATCAAATACTTTTTTCCCTCACTGTAAATACATACATACAGTACCAGTCAAAAGTTTGGACACACCTACTCATTCCAGGGTTTTTCTTTATTTTGGCTATTTTCTACATTGTAGAATAATAGTGAAGACATCAAAATGAAATAACACATATGGAATCATGTAGTAACCAAAAAAGTGTTAAAACAAATCAAAATATATTGTATAATTGAGATTCTTCAATGTAGCCACCCTTTGCCTTGATGACAGCTTTGCACACTCTTGGCATTCTCTCAACCAGCTTCATGAGGTAGTCACCTGGAATGCATTTCAATTAACAGGTGTGCCTTCTTAAAAGTTAATTTGTGGAATTTCTTTCCTTCTTATTGCATTTGAGCCAATCAGTTGTGTTGTGACAAGGTAGGGTTGGTATACAGAAGATAGCTATATTTGGTAAAATACCAAGTCCATATTATGGCAAGAACAGCTCAAGTAAGCAAAGAGAAACGACAGTCCATCATTACTTTAAGACACGAAGGTCAGTCAATACGGAAGAACTTTGAAAGTTTCTTCAAGTGCAGTCGCAAAAACCATAAAGCGCTATGATGAAACTGGCTCTCATGAGGACCGCCACAGGAAAGGAAGACCCAGAGTTACCTCTGCTGCAGAGGATATGTTCATTAGAGCTGGTGACACAGTCTGTGATTTATTTTGAATTCAAGGCACACTTAACCAGCATGGCTACCACAGCATTCTGCAGCGATACGCCACCCCATCTGGTTTGGGCTTAGTGGGACTATCATTTGATTTTCAACAGGACAATGACCCAACATACCTCCAGACTGTGTAAGGGCTATTTTACCAAAAAGCAGAGTGATGGAGTGGTGCATCAGATGACCTGGCCTCCACGAACCCCCGACCTCAACCAAAATAAGATGGTTTGGGATGAGTCGGACGGCAGAGTGAAGGAAAAGCAGCCAACAAGTGCTCAGCATATGTGGGAACTCCTTCAAGACTGTTGGAAAAGCATTCCAGGTGAAGCTGGTTGAGAGAATGCCAAGAGTGTGCAAAGCGGTCATCAAGGCAAATGGTGGCTATTTGAAGAATCTCAAATGTAAAATATATTTTGATATTTTTTGGTTACTACATGATTCCATGTGTGTTATTTCATAGTTTTGAAGTGTTCTATTATTCTACAATGTAGACAATAGTAAAAGAAAAACCCTTGAATGAGTAGTTGTTCTAAAACTTTTGACCAGTAGCATGCATACACACACACACACACACACACTGAACTAATATATGAACGCAACATGTAAAATGTTGGTCCCATGTTTTATGAGATGAAATAAAAGATCACAAATGTTCCATATGCAAAAAAAGCTTATTTAGCTCAAATTGTGTGCACAAATTTGTTTACATCCCTGTTATTGAGCATTTCCCCTTTGCCAAGATAATCCATCCACCTGACAGGTGTGGCATATCAAGAAGCTGATTAAACTGCCTGATCATTACAGGCTCACCTTGTGCAGTTTTGTCACACAATACAATGCAATGCCAAAGATGTCTCAAGTTTTGAGGGAGCGTGCAATTGGCATACTGACTGCAGGAATATCCACCAGAGCTGTTGCCAGAGAATGAAATGTTCATTTCTCTACCATAAGCCACCTCAATGTCATTTTAGAGAATTTGGCAATATTTCCTACCGACCTCACAACCGCAGACCATGTGTAACCACCCCAGCCCAGGACCTCCACATCCGGCTTCTTCACCTGCGGGATCGTCTAAGACTAGCCACCCGGACAGCTGATGAAACTTTGGGTTTGTACAACAGAATAATTTCTGCACAAACTGTCAGGAACCGTTTCAGGGAAGCTTATCTGCATGCTCGTTGTCCTCACCAGGGTCTTGACCTGATTGCAGTTCGGCGTTGTTGTAACCGATTTCAGTGGGCAAATGCTTACCTTCGATGGCCACTGGCACGCTGGAGAAGTGTGCTCTTTACGGCTGAATCCCGGTTTCAACTGTACCGGCCAGATGGCAGACAGTGTACAGTGTTCCAGTTCCCGCCAATGTCCAGCAACTTCGCACAGCAATTGAAGAGGAGTGGGACAACATTCCACAGGCCACAATCAACAGCCTGATCAACTCAATGTGAAGGAGCTGTCGTGCTGCATGAGGCAAATGGTGGTCACACCAGATACTGACTGGTTTTCTGATCCACGCCCCTACCTTTTCTTGTGATGTATATGTGACTGTCGTGGAGAATTATCCCTATACTTATTAAAAATCAAAGTTCTTCCAGAGTTTGGTAGAATCAAGATAGACTTTATTACATAACGCAAACAAAAGCTGAACTGGGCTGCAGAGCAACTGAACTCCCAACACTTGGCCCTCTGTTTATATACAGTTCTATTCCTACACATTTTACATACTTTTTAGCCTAATCCCTCCCTGTTTAGTTCTTCCACCATTGTCCCCAAATCAACATATTTTGACCGCTCCGCCCAATCTCTTAATTTGACTTCTCCTCCTCCAATGTATTCAGACTTGGAAAAAATAGTGGCAGGACCAAGCTTTCTCATACAAAAAAAAACATATCTTATCAGTCAGGAGAAGCCTTGAGATTAGGGAGCGCACACTCATGCAGCCTGTCCCAGTTCACCAGCTTCAGAGATAGGCCCCCTCTGCACAGTCTCCAGCCACAAATACATTTGCACATAAAACATCCCATCAAACCAATATCACATTATAAAACATATCAATCAATGCTTAAAGATGATTTAAACATGGCAGGTCCATAACCCATTCTCAACCATATACATTTTTAAAAGACATTCCTAACAGCCATCCTCCCTGGACCTTGAGCAAGAAACCTATGGTTTCTTCTTGTGACTGTGTATGTGGCTATGTGTGTCAGGTCATAGCGCACAAACAAGTGATAACGTTACTTCCGTTGCTACTCCTATCTCTACACAGCTGCACCCTTGGAAGATAGTAAAAGACAGGATGAACTGAAAAACCTGTGGTCATTCTGAGGCTCTTTGTTTTAACCGTGTGACCGGATTACTCTGAAGCAACAAGAAACAATACAGGTCTATACAGGTCTATCTGTTCCTGAAGTTTATCTCTATCCCATGTCCTTGACTACACGCCCAGACCAGCTGCAAAGAGCTAGAGGGAACCATCCTTTCTCAGAAGCACAGCATTTGCACTAAAGAAATGTCTCTACTATTGTTAAGCATATTATAATATATGTAATGGAAAAATACCTATAGAGCCATTTCATCATGGCTCTGTTTTAACCCTTTAATTGGTTGTTAATCCATAAGCATATAGGGCATATAGGCATTTCATTCTACAACATGCATAATCCATATAATTGGTTTGTTATGTTGTCTAAGTAGTTAACTAAAAATCTCCAATATGACCAACATATGCATATCTGTATTCCCAGTCATGTGAAAGCCATAGATTAGGGCCTAATGAATTTATTTCAATTGACTGATTTCCTTATATGAACTGTAACTCAGTAAAATCTTTGAAATTGTTGCATTGTATATATTTATTTATTTTGAGTGTACAAAACATAAGGAACACAAGAGACTGGCCAGGTGAATCCAGGGAAAAGCTATGATCCTTATTGATGTCACCAGTTAAATCCACTTCAATCAGTGTAGATGAAGGGGAGGAGACATGTAAAATAAGGATTTTTAAGCCTTGAGACATGGATTGTGTATGTGTGCCATTCGGAGGGTGAATGGGCAAGACAAAAGATTTAAGAGCCTTTGAACAGGGTATGGTAGTAGATGCCAGGCGCACCGGTTTGAGTGCGTCAAGAACTGCAACGCTGCTGGGTTTTTCACGCTCAACAGTTTCCCGTGTGTGTCAAGAATGGTCCACCACCCAAAGGACAAGCAGCCAACTTGACATAATTGTGGGAAGCATTTGAGTCAACATGGGCCAGCATCCCTGTGGAACTCTTTCAACAGTTTGTAGAGAATTGAGGCTGTTGTGAGGGCAAAAGGGGAGCACTAAATATTAGGAAGGTAATCCTAATGTTTTGTACACTGTGTGTGTGTGTGTGTGTGTGAACAGCAGTTGTCCAAGAACAGAGCCTTGAGGAACACTGAAAACGTTGTCCTATCTAAGGTATGTGTTGATGTTCCTCAAGGCTCTGTTCTCAGGCCACTACTGTTCCAATTATGTATATTACCTCTACTTACTTTGGCTTTACCCCCACCCTCTACAGACTTCAACCCACCTTCGGATCCCCCCGACCTCACGCTGGGCCCTGTGGCGCGCTGGATCGCAGTACGGCGCGAGGATATCGTTTCCCAGATGACGGAGGCCTGTCTGAACCAGAGCCTGGATGCCCTGCTGGCGCGCTCTCTCCTGATGCTCGAGGACTACGAGCTGGTGGTGAACCGGGTCACGCGCACCGCCAAGGTACGCCAGCTCCTTGACACCTGCCATCGCCACAGCGAGGACTTCTGCCGTGTGGTGGTCCGCAAGCTCCAGGACAACAAGCAACTGGGCCTGCAGCCGTACCCCCCAGAGCTCAGCTCCCCAGTAGCCGTGCCAAGCCCCAGCTCACCCCCACTCTCTGTGTCCTACAACAACCCTAGGAAATACTAGAACAGAACTTGTCCAGAGAAGACCAGAGACCAGAAAGACTGTAAACTGTTTAAGACTTTTAGCTCATTGAGCTAGGTGGTGGAAGAATTCTCTATGGTCTGTTAGTCCTGGGTTATATTCATTAGGCACCAAATGGAAGAAAACGGACTGAAACAGGGAGGGACTACCTGAATTTGTCCAATAAGATACTTGTTTTCCTTTGCACATTGTTTCGAAAAATGTTGTGCACTGAATACGACCCTGGGTTTTGACTGAACTTTGAATTTAGTGGGGAATGGTCAAGCCCAGCTGTTGTTTCACATTGCTCATCATGGTACCTGCTTTCCTGCCCACTCACACAGGACAATACTGTATGTTGCTACTGTTCATCGAACTGAAGGCTACTAGAAATTGAGCGAAAGGACTTGAAGGTAAAGATGCCTTTTGGAAGAACAAAACCATATTGTGTTCACTAAATTTCACCTGTTCTCTGAAAGCAGAGAACGGGTTGGGATTAGCAATCATAATCAAAAACCTGTTAGTATTTGATCCAGGCTTTGAAAAATGATATTATGGATTTCATGTCATTTGTCAGGTAAATAATTTGGTTCTCTTGAAGCATTCCCTATATTCTGAGTGATCAGGGTACAGGCCTGAGTTCTGCTTCTATGCATATTTCTGTTATTGTTGTCCCCCCTTTGCACTGAATGGTTACATCCAGAGAGAGACTGTACATCCAGAGAGAGACTGAATAACATCATACTGATCTAAGGCTCTGGTTTCACTCTTTATTGAGTGGACAGTCTAGACCAGGGGTATTGAGCTCTTGCACTACGAGGTCCGGAGCCTGCTGGTTTTCTGTTCTACCTGATAATTATTTTTAACCACCTGGTGTTCCAGGTCTAAATCAGTCCCTGATTTAAGGGGGAACAATGAAAAAAATATAGTGGAACTGGTTTCGAGGTCCAGAGTTGAGTTTGAGGGTTCTAGACTATACAGGTCTTCATGGGCCCGGGTGGGACCCGATTAACGTGACTGAAATTCTGTAGTTGACCCTCAGATCCGGGTCGGGTCTATGTAACTACAGCTGATAGACCCAAGTGGACCTGAATGGATCCGACCACGGCTCTGGATAGCCTAAAACATTTTTATTTTACGGTAATAAGGTGAATCTATTGACTTTTTTGAGAGCCTAGCCAACATATAAAGACCCATTTGTTAGCCAGAAAACTTGGCTGATTAACATAATTTTGTCACTCTGGTACAATCGGGTCCAACCTGGTAGGGTATGGGTCCGGTCTACGTATGGTTGTTCTCAGGTCTGTTCGGGTCCAGATCCCCCTTTTAGGTCTGATTTGTCCTTGGACCCGAGAAAACATCCTACTAGACTCATCTGTAGCTATCCAAGTCTGAAAAGGTACTTGACTGGAGTTCTGCCGTTTTGAGGTTAATGTAGCATTGTATTTTGTATTTTACATTGTATTCATTTTTTTACCACTGCCTTTTCAAGACAGATTTGATTTATCTTATAAAAGGAGCTTGCGTTGACATTGACATAGGATGGGCCAAGGCAGAAATGACATCTGAACTTATACCAAGAATAGAGTCAGCATTTGTTTTTGTGGGGAAGAAAATGTTGATCATTTAGCCTTTGTTGAGGCCATATCATATATGATATACATCTCCATACCATTTATTTAGAATGTAGTCAGTGGATTTAGGTATGGCGGATAGATGTAGCTACTGTAGAGTTGATTACATTTTAGTCATTTAGCAGATGCTCTTATCCAGAGCGACTTACAGTTAGTGAGTGCATACATAATTTTTTTATTTTTCATACTGGCCACCCGTGGGAATCGAAACCCACGCTACATCCCTGCCGGCCATTCCCTCCCCTACCCTGGACGACGCTGGGCCAATTGTGCGCCGCCCCATGGGTCTCCCGGTCGCGGCCGGCTACGAAAGAGCCTGGATTCGAACCAGGATCTCTAGTGGCACAGCTACTGCGCCACTCGGGAGATATCCTTGGTCTTTCTCTTGACACGTTTACATATGGGGACAGACACACTACCACTGTAGCCAGAAAGCAGGAAATAAGGTAATGTAGCTCATGTAGATCAGAGTGTACCAGGATCTGTCTGGAGCTATTTTGGTACTCTCCTTGGATCCAATGGTCTCTGTTATGGGCGGTTTTTGTAGACATGTTTTTTGCGATAGAGGTCATGGCCCATACTTGTTTTGGTACAAGACCAGTGAATGGATAGAGCGGGGTTTAGTCATCGAGCCAAGTGCTAAATATAGTAACACGTCCCTAGCAGCTTAGAGCTGTGGTTGGTTATCCTGCACTTTGACAAAAACATTCAGCCTCAGATTCAGCTTTCCCACCTAAAGTTTCCATCATCCAGTGCTTTAAGCCAGGGGAGGGAGATCGCTACAGTAGGAACCGGTCACAGAAGAAGCAGCCAGTGACCCACACTGAAGAGACTGTGGTGTGTGTGTGTATATTTGTCTAAAGTGGGCCAAAGGAAACTGTGTTACGTAGGACACTTAATCCCTTCATGAATTGCATGATCTATCCTCAGTTTTGTCAGCACATGACAGGTCTCAAGTAGCAAAGGGCACTTCCTGGGACACATGACTGGAAATTGAATCATACTGTAGCTTTAATACAAATGAAATCTATATACCATAAAGTAATTACACTTAAAAGTCACAGACAAATTCTCAGCCTTGAGGCTGTAGTTGGAGCAAGCATAGGGGCCAACTAAATCTAGCGCTAGCTAGCTACAATGTACCCTCAATCTGAGCGCTAGCTAGCTACAATGTACCCTCAATCTGAGCGCTATATGTAGCTAGCTACAATGTACCCTCAATCTGAGTGCTAGCTAGCTACAATGTACCCTCAATCTGAGCGCTATAACTAGCTAGCTACAATGTACCCTCAATCTGAGCGCTCTAGCTAGCTAGCTACAATGTGAGCGTTATAGCTAGCTACAATGTGAGCACTATAGCTAGCTGTCTACAATGCACACTATCGCCTGTAGAAGCCTCAGCAGGGACCCTGTGTTATGACTGTTTCTCACTGTGGAGCTGTCCTCTGCTAATACATATCCAGAAATGACTAAGTGCCAAAATACACTGTAGTTAAGCAATTTCCTGATTAAAAAACTACTATTTTTCCCGTGGTTACCTCACCATCCTCTATCTTCCTCAGTTTCTGTTTCTCTATGTCAGTGATGTGTGCATGCAATGTGTCTCCACATAGGGAACCGAGAGCGCCACTGAATCAGGGGTGTGGTTTCTAGAGGCCTTACCATCAATGCACTTCCTTAAATGGGTTCTGAAGGCACCGTGGCTAAGTTTCATTACCTAGGGTCAGTGCCCTACAATTGTGACCCTTCGGAATTGAGGAGCGCTGGCTGAGGGGTTTTAGGGTATTGTTTTGTATTTATTAATCTAGGTGTTCTTACCTATTTATTTTATTTGTGCTGTTGTAGAATAAACAATGTACATTGTTTGCCCCCCATGACGAGGGTGCTCTTTGTAAGTTTGTTTTCAGCTTTTGTTGAATTAGAATATGTGCTGTGCCAGTGGTGTAGGGTGGCAACAGCCAGGAGAGAAACTTCCAAAATCCTCTGGACTTTTACTGCCTTGTTGTCGATACTGTGCCTCATATTTAAGATTGATTATTTTCCACAATTATTTTCTCATATGATATTTGCACAAAACTTGATCAAATTAGATTTGAATGACTTTCCTAGTCATGTTAATATACTTTTGAACAACATGTTGTATAAGTACAACTGTCTTTTTTTTATAGCGTTATTCTATTTATCTTTAGTCAAACTCTTGCATAGTTCTAAACCATTAGATGTCTATGTTAGAAATCATTGCTTCATGCACCAATCAACATTGCCATATTCCTGGTTAGCGTTCTGTTTTATCCATATACTTATGTATGTTTTTCATATAATTAGCAACAATCTATCAAATATCCTGTATACATAGTGTACACTGAGTGTACCAAACATTAGGAACACCTTCCTAATATTGAATTGCACCACCCCTTTTGCCCTCAGAACAGCCTCAATTTGTTGGGGCATGGACTCTACAAGGTGTCGAAAGCGTTCCACATGGATGCTGGCCCATATTGATTCCAATGTTTCCCATAGTTGTGTCAAGTTGGCTGGATGTCCTTTGGGTGGTGGACCATTCTTGATACAGATGGGAAACTGTTGAGGATGGAAAAACCCAGCAGCGTTGCCGTTCTTGACACAAACCGTTGCGCCTGGCACCTAATACCATACCCCGTTCAAAGGCACTTAAATACCCTCTGAGTGGTACACATACACAATCCAGGTCTCAATCGTCTCCAGGCTTAAAAATCCTTCTTTAACCTGTCTCCTCCCTTTCGTCTACACTGATTTTGAAGTGTATTTAACAAGTGACATCAGTAAGGGATCATAGCTTTCACCTGGTCAGTCTGTCATGGCAGGTGTTCTTAATGGTTTGTATACTCAGTGTATAAGTACATATTTTGGCAGAAATAGGATTTACTATTTACTGTACATGTATTGCATGACGTTTTAGATACCGGTACGCTTTATTGCTGTGTCATTAAAGTGTGTAAAATCCTTCCGCCCCTGTTTTTCTCCGATTTTGTTTTTTACTGATTGCCATATTGTGAATCCCTACCATGCATGATTCCTTTAATACTTGAAGACTGCTTGTGGTAAGCGAGATGGTGCAATGCTCTGGCTACCAACAGTCCCTATGCGCCTCAGTCATATACAATAAATTATCACCCTATAATACCCTCCACAATCAGCCTCTGATTATCTTTGCTGCCAAACGTGCTTCCAACAAGTAACTATTAACTGGGGGGTGTGAAGACAATGAAGACGTCTTCGTTTTCTTTTTTTGTAAATTAATTTAGAAACAAATCTATAATGTGTCTTTTACTTTGGAAATGTGGAGCAGGTTGTGTATATAAGTAGGAAATAAATCCAATTTAATAAATGTTTAGATTGAATTTAAAGGCAGCAAAATGTTAAACTGGGCAAGGGGTGTGTAGACTTTCACTAGGCACTGAACTGTAGGCCTCTTTCCCTAATTACCTCACCATACTACTGTTCAGACATGTTGGTGTCATGACCTCCTGTGAACAGTCATGTATAACGTTCCCCTTACGGGC